TGGTTCCGAGGCGGCGAGGAGGGCCAGCCTCGCGGCGCGAGCAGCGTTGGTTGTCCCCGGGGGACGGCCACGCGGCCGACCAGTCGGGGTACGTCGTGAACCAGACATGATCGGTACCATTAGGGATAGGGTGTTTAGGATACTGGTTGGGGGAGGGACTGGAGTTGATATGATGGCGCAAGGGTGGAGGAGGCGCGAGAGCTCAAGGTGGGGATCGCTCCTCTGGGGGCTCGTTGGTCATCGAGAACGCCTCAAACGAATGGGCCGGGCGCAGTGATGCATGGAGCAGTCTCACATGCCGACATGAAAGATCCCAGCAGGCGAAGGGTCGATGAGCTTTCCAAGTCTCTGAGGAGGGGAAGATACGAGTTGGCGTCGGCGTGCGGCTCGGCGCTCACTGGATGCGAAAAAACACAACCAACGCGTGCACAGGCAGTCCAATGTTGCCCCCTTATTACTTAGCCGGCCAGTGCTCTTCAGTGCACTGAGCCCCATCCGTGGCCTGTATTCACAGCCTAGCCTTGGACGTCGGAGATTAGTCAGCGGCCTACACCCGCCTGGTCCCGTTTGAGCTTGGCGCCGACTGAGCCAGATGCGATTCTGGGGAAGAGACGATCTGGATGTTCAATCAATCATCACTCGAAGCCATGACATCCACCCACCAAGCCATGTCTGGAGAATGCACATGCCAAGATAGCTAGGACCTGAGACTCATGCTTCACTTTTCGCAGCCGATCACATGGTCCACTCTTTTTTTTTGTGTGCTCGGCATGCCAGCTGTCTGAATCAGGTCAGGCCGTTGTATGAACTGGGCCGTGTTGTTGGGAGCCGGCAGTTGGAGGCAGAGAGATGCATTGCATCCCGACTACCGATTCTAGGGTTGTAGGAACCATCAGCTGAAGCACGGGTAATCGCCGACAGATCCGGGCCATGTCGCTGCATCAGCTCGCACAAAGATGCCTCGACTCCAAGCACGGACCAGATCAAACAAACAAAGAACCAGGAGACAGGTAAATCATTAGTGAGGTACATGGTAAAAACGTAGATTGAGGAAAATAGAGCTAAGTGTCAACGACTCTTCGAGAATATATCTAGACCTTCCCCAGAATGGGCGCATCAAGACGAGCTAGGCTAATAAGCGAGATCGATCTACACACTTCAGAATAGGGGAGCAAGTTTAATTCCTCGGTCCACGTGGGGTTTGACTGGCCATTATTGATGCATTGAGCAATCCAATTAATAGGCTATTACCCATGTCCTCCAACTGCGCTCCTCTACCACGTCAATTAGACCTTCTGTAGACAAGCATCTTTTGTTATCAATCACGGAGTCCAATATTTTACAGATGGCGGGGAGATATGAAAGCTAGGAAATACTGTTGTAAAATTGAGAAAGCTAATCGCAGGATGGTAAGTTTGATTGCTTGGAAAGTTGGCTTGAGTTTCGTTTCTTGAGGGATGTCTCGGTTATTATATACATGTCCTTCATAACCCTTGTTTCCTGACCATCGGCATGCACTGTAAGTTTCAATATTGTATTTGCGCATGCTATATTGGGTATTGTACAGTAGACGACTCCCTGGGCGAAAAGAGACCATCACAAGTCACAGAAAATAGGTAGGCACAGATGAGAAACCGATTTTGGTGGTACGCAGCGTCGACAAAGTGTCGACATTCCATCAATTAGCTTCAACTCGACTCTGCTGTCACGCTCTGCTGTGACACCTGGCAAGTCTATATCTAAAACAATAAATACCCCGGAAAAGCAAACAAAATCTTGAGAATCAAAGTGAGAAACCCTACCCGCGCCGTTCCATGTCCAAATACAATGAGGTGCAAACAAAATCTAACAATTCCATGACGGGGATAAACAAAGACTCCAATCGCGAAACTCCTCCTGGTGTGAATTTTATATCCTGATCATTGCCAAAGGTCTAACGCCACTCAGGCGCATTGCTTCTGAAAGCCGAGACTTCTGGAAAACAAGGAGAAGGGGTGAACGAAGACGGAGAATGCGGCCATGCAATCAAAGTATTCATCGACTCCCGAACGCCTGAGACGCTATGCTCCAAACTCTCAACTCGATAATCAATATCTGCAACCAAATCACAGCCGGAAAAAAAGAAACCAAAGGAAAAACCCGCCCAAATGAGAAACAACTGAAACACACTGCCAAGTCATGCAAAGCAACGAAGCAAAACGCAAAAGAGCAAAGGTTTGAAAAGAGTAATAAGGGGTATCATGAGTATCATCGGGTGATCTGTGGTGCCTCTATAAGCTCACGAGCTGAGTGGCTGGCCCAGCGTGCGTCCCTCATGCAGAGGGGGAGGCGAGAAGGCATGTTCAGGGATGTGTACGGGAGACATTGCTGAGGAAGAGGGACCTGAGGTTGGAATAAAGCTAGTCGGGTGTCTTGTTTGCCAGCTCTCCTCACTCAGGACACTCAAGTAGTCCGTCCCGACCTTGTCCCGCAAGGCCTGAATTTTCATGCGATAATTCTCCCCGTCCTTTCCCCAGTCCTGGGTCTTCTTCCAGGTTGGATCAGAGACTTCTGCAATGGGCGGCGGCGTCGCATCCACATCACCGACTACATCAGTATCGATGCGCGGTACGGCCGCTTGAGAAACTACCGAACTTCCATGGCTAGCTGGAAATTCGGAAGGTGAGAGGAGTTCAGTATGTGACGTCAGGGAGATGAGATAGTTTGGTTCCGTTGACGTTCTGAGAGGTGCAAGGCGGTCGGTTTTGAGAGGGCCCGTGCGTTCGGTTGGGGTGGTATTCTTGTGAATGTCGATAGCAGTGGGCGAAGGGGGGGTCTCGCCCGAGGACAAATCAACGATTCGACGCTTGGGGGTTTTGCGACGTTTCGTCGCCCCAGTGGCGCTCTCGCCTACGATAACTTTGGAGACTGGACCGTCATTGCGAGAGGGATTCTCTTTCTGTGCACCGTATACAATCGCAGGCTTGTTTACCTCAAGCGAAGCTATCTCAGGAGCTTGTGGTTTCACGACGGGAACGGACTCGGGAATGGGAACGCGGTCAACGAGGAGGCGTTTCTCGGCATAGCTGGGACCAGTTCCATCGATCAAAATGTCCTCGGTGTACCCGGGGGTTTTGCGAAACAGGTTGAAAATTGAAATTCTATAGTCACGATGGGATCGGGTGAAGTTGTTGCCTTCAACCCAAATTTCCCGCAGATCTGGAATACCTGTCAACCGTGCTAGTTCCATTGGGTCTGTCAGACGGTTGTCTCTCAAGTCCAGCCTTTCGAGGGGGTATAACTTTTCAATGCCTGCCAGGGACTGCAGCCTGTTGGCTCGAAGGTTGAGGGCTGTGATAGCAGGCAGTGGGTTCCGAGTCAGCGAGTGGAGGGAATCGATCATGCAGTGAGACAGGTTCAGGGCGCGGAGTGCCGTCAGCGTTGCTAGGCTTTCCGGCACCTGGCTGAACAAGTTGGAAGACAAGTCCAAAGAATAGAGCGTGTTGGAAAGGGGTTGTAGGCTAGCAGATGGTATTGAGGTCATGGAATTGTCCGCCAAACTGAGATGTCTCAAAAAGCGCCACTTGGAGGAGGGAAGAGTCATCGTCGCCATGAGATTCCCGGAGCTGTTGCGAGAGTGCAACGGCCAAGAGTCCGCGAGGCTGGAGTAGGAACTTCCCGATCCAGATCGGCGGATGCGCTCCGACGACCTGGTGTGACTGGGTGGATGGCGAGCACCTCCCATGCGGGAGGGCGAGCTACTCCTTGGCCTACCATCGTGGGTCAAGGGCTTTTGGTACTTGCGATTCTCATTTCTCGATGGCGTTTTGGCGCTATCTGATGCACTGCTGTCCTCAATCGCATGCTCACTAGGCGTCAGAGAACCTACGCGGAGGTCCCCGGCAGAGTGCCTAGGATCATTAGAAGGAGACGGGGGAGGCAAGGCAGATGACAAAGGAACAGTCATTGAGCGTTGGAGCTCATGGTGCATGGTGGTTGAACCTCGGCGGGGGCTATTGCCGTAGCCCAGAGTGGCGGTAGGTGATGCCTGGGTCTTGGAGGACCTTCGGCGTCTCTGATCCATGTCATCCAGGACGATGTCAATGAGGATATCGGCGGGATCTTCGATGCCGGCTCGTTTGAGAGAAAGAGAGCGCAACTGGTCGGCGAGGCGGTCCCAGCCAAAGAATTGCCTGAAATCGATGCTGCTCACTTCCAAAGACTGCAAGTTTTTGAAAGCGTACAGAGGAACAGCAGAATCGAATGGGAACTCTTCGTACCCGCGAATGAGTCGGGCACGCCAATCGGGGGCCAGGCGGAGGCAGGGAATCTTCGTGAAAGCCGAGTACAGGTATTTCAGGTCCGAGTCAAGCGCCGCCTTTTGCCGTTCCGTCCTGGCCGCCGATATACTGGCGCTGATGCCCAGGCTCGCCCATAATGCCGACATGCTTGACATGACGCCTCCGACACTGGAGACGGAGCGGATGGAGCCCACATCGGAGTCACGACTCCTGGAACGCTGTGTGTTGCCAAGGAATGACACATAGTTGGCAGAGGTGGAACTATCGTGAAGGTTTTCTAGCCGAACCTTCATAGGCCCCACGGCAATACCGAGGTCTTCGAATCGTGAGAGCAGGTAAAACAGGTGGTGTGGTGTCAAGGCCAGTTTCGCCGACTTGACACTGTTCGAACCGAGGCCGAGTCCCCCAAAGGAGAAGGCGCTCCCCAAGGAGCTCGAGGGTGATGCCGATGTGGCTGGTCGGTCGGGAAGAGTTGGTGTTCTGGGCAGGCTCACGGAGCTCGTACTCTGGGTCGGTCGGTGTCGTGTGTCACGACGCAGGAGTTGCAGAGCATTTGCGAGTGCTTTTTCGTGCGTTCGCACGAAGCCAGCAAGGTGCTGCGGTTTTGATGTTAGCCAGGTAGCGCAGACAGAGCCTCGGTGCATCCTATCAAACATACTTTTATAAACAGATCTCCGTCTTCCGAATCCATGTTAATGTACCGATGCACATTAAAGGTGACTAATGGGAGATGAGAGACGGTTGCACGAATTCGATCGGCGGGAGAGGGGAGTTGGCCAAGGCCGTGTGGTTTTCTGGAAGATAATGAGTCGACTCAGTAAAGAGCCCCTCTGGATTTTTGGTGTTAGTAGAGACAACACAATCAGATACACGAAACAAGATCAGGCGAGACGACAAGAAATACAGCAAAGCAATGTGCGAAAGCCGCGAGAACAGACCAACTCTATATACAACAATGCTGGGGATGCTTCGAAAGCAGAAAGAGCAGCCGGGTCAGATATCACATCACGCACAAGACAAGTCACACGCGGCACGGAATGACATCAAACGCAAACACACAGAAATGGTCCAGAGTGCAAGAGCGCACACGGGGAAGGCTGGCCGGAAGGGGAGAGACAGAAGCAAAAGTGCGGTGGAAAATCGAGGACTCGTGGCAGGTCGCGGGGGTGATACTCAAGTATAAGAAGTGCAAGATGAAACTGGATGGAAGGAAACGGCCGTGGATGGACGGGGAGTCGGCCCAGACGCAAGCACAGGCAAGAGCAACGGCGGGTGTGGCTAGGCACCGACAATAGGGGAGCAAACAGAAAAACGAGGCAAACAGAAAATAAACAGAAGGCTGAGATGCTTGAATTCAAATGTGCAAGTAGTTTGACTGACTCACCCGGCCACAGTTGCCTTGAACCAAGCGCCCGCAGGATATATCGGCAGAACAACGTCTCGCAGGCGTGCTTGCAATGTTGTTATTATTATTCGAAGCGGCAGGGTCGGTATCGCGAGGCCTTTGCTCACGTTGAGGGTTGGGAGGCCGAAAAAGAAAAGCAAAGGAATGGAATAGAAAAGAAAAGACCCTGTATCTCCTCCGTGTGGTTGCTTGCTTCTCTGGTCGGAGAAGATGCAGAAGCAGAAGAAGGGTCCAAGGCGGAGGGGTCTGGTAAGAGGGACCCAAATCCTAATAACTGGCTGCATGTGCGTGGACCCCGAGAAAAGAGGCTGCTTGGGCCATGCGGCATGCCATACCTAACGCCCAGGGCCATCCACCAGACCCCCAAGAACGAGACCCCCCCTCCACCCGCAGCTGGGAGTTCAAGGTCAAGGGCGATGGTGGGCGCCTGGGAAATCCACTAGACGCCCCCCTGCACACTGCAACTCAGGCCCACCTGCGGGTACATGCCTGCAGCTGTACTACGACTATCGCCTCCACCCATGATAACGGCAGCCAGTGGATTGAACTAAGCCATGGATCAGACGCTCAGTGGACAATCAATCACCACCAAAGGAAGGCCCGCGCAGGGCTCTTTCTGTCATCTCGCAGGCCTTGTCTGCTGGGAGACAATGCACGGCGATCTATAGTTTTTCCTTTCATTGTTTCTTTCCCAAGCCTCACACGACGCACCACCGCCCCTTTTCGGTCTCAACCGCCAGGTCTGGACTTTGACCTATCCCTCACTCTCACCTCCGCCTGTGTCAGCTTTTATCATCTTGACTGTCATCCGGGCTCACAATGTCTCGCTTCCCAGGTGCCCCTGCTTGGCCACCTGATTGGGGAGGGTCACAGGCGTAAGTATGTGGACGTGCTCTGTGGACGCGCAGCAACAAAATAATAGGTAATAATAATAATACCGGTCGACTTATAATTTCCATACACATGCATGCATGCACGCCAGAGCTAATTACCGGGCTCCTCCTTGCCTGCTAGCTTGCGCTACTAGCTACGCACTACGGATTCACCACTGCGCGCGACGGCCGAGAGACTGCTTCAGCCGACATGTATCAGAAGCAAATGATGATGAGAAGTGACAGCCGGGGCTCTCCCACCAATGAGGATATGATGCGCCAACTTGGAACGCGAACCAGCGGCTGTGCTGAATGGAACCTGGCGACGCCTCTCCTCTTTCTCGGTGTAGACATGTCTCGTCCATACCATGCGAGGACGAAATCTAGCGACCCCTACATTCTACTGCCTTCATATCTTGCTTGCTCCCATGTGTGCCGAAACTGACTCGGGCCAGGGAGCGTGTACCTGGATGTAGTAGGTGGCTTGTGGCGGTTGACTTCCCAGAACAGGGTCCGTCGTTGGCGGCGTGGCCTGTCTTGGATAGATCCAGGTGCCTCACATGGCGAAGCTCGACGTCAGTTGCTCCCATCGTGCTTCCCTCCAAACGAATCGAGCGCAACGTGCTGTCCCTGCCAGTGACGCAAGCAGTTGCACAGCTCTATAATCGAGGTAACATTTCAAATGCGCGTTGACGATGATAGTGGGGTCGAATTGGAGATGGACGACGAGAAAGAAAAAAAAACCCGCGCGCAATCAGAAGCATAGCGGGGTCCTCACAATCACCGGTTCGACGACGCCAAGGCTAGGCGTTGCCAAACTGATCAGAAGCACAGCAGTTGGAGGAGCCAATGTCCGTCTTGGGTAAGGTGTTCGGGAGCCTCTTGGTGGAGCTGGAGGGAGCTATGTGGGGATCTTGGCAGCCGAGAATGAGTTGAGCGAGCGAGATAGACGGCCTGGACCAGGGAAGCGAAGGGGACGAAAGCCGGTAGCATGACATGGCAACTGACGATGCGATCTTGATGCGACTCGCGGCCGGGACAGTCACTCTTGAGAGCATTTGATCGATGCTTGCACGATGCTACCTAGCCTAGACACTGCAGCCGTTGTCTTGCTTTCCTTTCCATTTGTCCCTCGTCTCGTCATCTAAGATGATGTGTGGACGACTACCGGAGTGTTGATCAGTTTGTTTACTTTACTTGTTGGTGCTAGGTCTAAGACACCCCAGACTAGGCTGGTGTGTGGTGAGACAGGAACCATGTAAATACCGAATTATGAGCCAGCCCGGAATTCCCATGTTGGACTCGGTCCAGGCCGTTGCGACATCGCCGCCGCCGCACCGGATGGGGATGGATGGGGATGGGATTGGATGCGTTGCGCAGCCAATGCAAGCTGGTGGCGGCCGTTGATTGTTTTGACTTCATTTCGTCGCGCAGGAGCCAGCCAGGAGCACGGAGCCGGGAGACTGAGCATTGGCCAAGCGTCAATATTGGCGACGGCCACCAGCTGCCTCTGGCTCTGCGCGACGTTCCCCATGGAGGCTAGGCCCATCCGCCTGCCGATGGCTCACTAAGCCCAGCAGAGGAGGCCGAGTGCACCGCCGTCCAGGGGGCCAGGTTCCAACCTCCTTGGGACTGCCTGTGCCGACCAGCCCTCGGTCGTCGAGACATGGGATGGGTGGCCCCGAGCACGCACGCACCGCAGTTGCCAAATGGAGATATTCCTGCTCTCTGGGCAACCGTTCGCTGGTCCTGAGAGGAAACAATCTCTGTCTGGCCATTGTCTGGCCTCGCGATGGACCATCACAACGTGGTATGGCATCACTCTCGACATCGGAGCCCACCCCGATACCACGCAACGACGACACCCAACGCCACTTCGCGATCAGCCGCCCATCTGCTGCCGGTTCAATCTCGTCCATTCAACCATCAACATGGGCCGTCTGGCAATGGCATCTCTCTGCTTCGAGCTATGTCATCCTCCCCACTGCGCGCACAGCGTGCTTCAGTTGATTGGGGGCATCATGTCATCTTGCCTGGTCAGCCCCCCGCGCCCCTCCTCCCTTATCCTCCACCTGGATGGTATCCCCCACTATTAATCCCAAGTACACACCTACTGCAGATATAGCCAAGAAGATGGGGGCACCTCTCGTCGACGCTCCAGCAGACGTTTCAAGGTGTTAAATCGTGTCACGCCTGCTCGGGATTGGCTAGCTGGCTGGTTCTTCATCGTCCAAGTTGCCACACTCGGTACTACACCCATTTGATACTACACCACCACCGGCCATCTCATCCCATGTCGGACCAAGGAGATGGTATGTAATATGTCACCTTGGCATCGTCGAACAGCTGCTGAACGGACCAAAATACTGGGCCGAAAAGACGTAGAAGTAAACCAGTAGAGTGGGTGAGAAATACAAGCAGGAGAAGCAAGGGGAGAGGGGCGAGGGAAAGGAACTGCAGCAAAGGTACTCTGTACATTGCGATTTGTTTCAAGATCTACCTAGACTCGCCGCTCTGTCGCATCACTGCAACTTAACGCAGTGAACTCTCCCAGAGTTCACATTGAAACAGCCATCCTGATTGATCTGATATCGCTGAACCCTGGCCGAATAAGCGCTCCCAAGTGGACTGCAGGTGGCAGTCGGTACATGTCGATCCGTCTAACTGTGTTCACCAGATCAAACAAAATTGCCTGTGCTTGAATGGAAGCGCCTGTGGTGATCCTCACCGCCTCTCATCAAATTCCTAGCGCATGTCGTGACTCGGCAGGCAGCACACCACCTCGCGATTGGCTGATATCTTCTCTCTGCTGCCTCCATGCTACCTACACGATACCTGGATGATACCTCAGTGATGCGGAAATGACTTGCCTTGGACCACTTTGGATGGTCTTGCAGGATCATCGTATGTCAGTCAAGCGGATGTCCACATGCCGATATACTCCCGGCAGCGCACAATGCATCGATATCTGGAACATGACAGAAAAAAAAAAAAACTAACAAGTGAGGAGAGGAGAGGGGGGATACAAGCAGGAAATACCACGATCCCTCAGCCTCAGGCAATACCATACCTAGATGCCATGCTTAAATTCTCCTGCGCTTAAGGTTGCATCGCATCATGTACATGGTCGACGAAACCATTGATATTACCATCAGCTACACCATTCCCACCACTCAGCCAAGCCCGTCTCTTCCTCCTTCTCTTCTCTAGCGGGCAGTACAGGCACTATGCAGGCAAGATTGATTTTCATGTGCGCATGGGCATGTAGGAGTGGTAGTGCATGGATATTCCGCATCTGGTGATTATTCCCTCTCCATCAGCGACGCCATCTCACTTGGCACCAGCTGAGATGATACAGAGCGGCGAGATGGAGGGAGGGGTCGAGCGGTGGTCATTGGCTAGCTCTCTCCCAAGCGGCTCCTCTCAGATCCTCAGTCTCTTTTCAATTAAAAGCCACCATCTCCATCTCCCGGTTGAAATACACACCTGGTAATAGCCTGTCGATCACCTGTGATGAGGACGAGCCAATCTAGTAGGGACCACGGTCATCAGGGTCCTCTTTAGCGGCGTGCTGGGCCAAAAGCTGTGAAGTCTGACTACTTGCTCCCCACAAGGGACTACTATATCATCATAGTAATACCCAAAATAACCCATGCCCGCCCGCCATGGAGGCAAAGAGGGTACGGTGGGCATGGGCCAGCCCAGCCAGCCTCCGCTTGGCACACTCGGGCGCTAAAGGCGCTTTCCATGGGAAACACATGAGCTATCCTCCAGTCGAGAATCCGAGAAGAGGGCCACTAGCCATGTACGGATACATCATAGCCTCCTCTTATCCACGAAGCCTCCCTCTGACTGACATCCAGCCAGCCACGGCCCATTCTGGCCACCACGCCCAGCCCGCCATGACGCACTAAGACCCGCGTCTGACAGTTTATAGGACAATTCTTTGCTACACGAGAACATGGGAGTTGGCGAATAGAAGACGGCGGTTCGCCCTCGAGAAATCGCCTTTTCGCCATGATTCCATCACGGGACTTTCTGTACGAGTAGTCCCAAGATTCCCCCCTCCCCCTCCCCCTCCTAAGAGAAAAGAAAAAAAAAAGGAGACGAAACGAAAGGCAAGACATTAAAAAAAAGAGGTTAAGCGCGATACGCCCCCCGGTTCGACGACCAGGTTGGCGAGATCTGTGAGCGCCCTCCTCGCAGCAGTGGCATGCGGGCTCTTTCACACCGCTGCCTTTCCCCCCTCCATCCCCCGTTCCCTCCCCTCCCAATACCAGCTGGCGGAGAGAGCGTGTGCGTCCCATCGAGGGAGCTGGTGGGTGTCCTTTCTCATGCACGACAGAACTGGGCCTACGCAACCGCGGCCCCCGTCTCCCCAATCAGCGCCTGCCCGGACGACGCCCGGATGGTCCAGGTTCTTTCTGCAAGCTGGAATGGCACGCACAAAGCGATGCAGCCACTGCTGGGCCCGGGCCTTTGAATGGCCAATTCGCTCTGGCCGCCTGAATCTTGCATCCGGATCTTTCGTGCACGTCCGAGGGGCGGTACATACTCTACCCAAGGTCGGCCAACTCCACACAAAGATGTGGGTGTCGTTGAATGTAGGTTCTCATATGCATTAACGTGCACTTCTTACCTGAGAGACTTCGTTTCGCCTGGGTCTCTCGCTTCGCCGGCGAGCCTCCCGGCAGTCTATTTTCGTAAACACCGATCCGTAAAGCGCTGTTTGGCGGCCTTTTCTCGCTCCCAAGCTTCCGCAGCCACCGGGGAGCGGACATGTCGATGTCTATACATACCACTGCCGGGTATCAGGTGGATGTGCGTCACTGACGTAGAACAGCGACTGGCGATATCCGGCGACTTTCATCAATGCACGCTGTGAGGTAGGCCGGTCTTCAGAGTGATTATTGCCTGCAGTGCAATCCGTCCCCAGTGGGAGGTAGAGCTACATGGCACAATCGAGGTTGTTTTCCTGGGCTGGCCAAATGTCTCATCGCACACCATTTCCCGGAGAAACGAGGCGTCAATACTATGCATGCAACTACCTACATACATTCAATACAACCTCCAACCACAGGAACGGACATGAAATCTCACCGTCTGGCCGATGCAAATTTTCCACCACCATCATGCACATTGGCTGCCAGTCACCCTCCCTCAGGCGGCCGGTGGTGTAATGCGAATCGCACCGCGCGCGAGAAATGTTACAGGTCACTTGCCTCTCGCCTGCAGACGGCGTGCAGGTACATGGCCGCGGAGGTACATCCATCATGCAGTTGTGATTTCGTACATGGCAGATGGGCCATCCAGCATAACCTTTGCGGTGTCTTACGATGTCTGAGACCGTCTCTCACACCACCACCGGCGAGCGCGCGCACTAGAGCATCCAAATCTTACAAACCTACATGCCTACATTGTCTTGCTGCACCTCTTTCGAGCTGCATGTCCGTTTAGTGCAGGTCAGCATGCACCCGATCCTACTGACACCGCCATCAAGTACCTCTACAAAGGCTCATTGAAGTTTTTTTCTTCTTCCCCCTCTTTGCTCCTGTGTATCATCCCCAGCCCACCTCAAACACACGCGCTGGCCGTCATGCGCCTGAGAAGCCGCTTTAAACAATGACGAATGCCGAGCGACAACTGCATATGCTAACTCTGACAGCTGGAGACTCAATGCAGCCTCCACTCCTGGCAAATTTTCCTGGGGACTGAGGATTTCTTTGCGGGACCCCAAAGAGGGTCCCGGAATCGCTCGTTTTCCATGTCGAAACGTATGATCGAGCAAGTCAAACTCGATCACGGCCGCCATCTGCCCCGCCACTAAGACGCGAATTGTCCTCAGATTCACCACTTGGCCATGGCCCCTCATATGGATATTTTCTTTTTTTCCCTCTCGGTGACCTTTTTTGTTCCCCTCCCCTTCACCCCCCCTCGCGTAGATCATGGCTCCCCTCGTCTATGGGAATTCACCGCTTCCATTTTTGCTCATACGACGGAGCTACCAACTAGTCCAATTGGACGTGCATGACATATGACGATCACCTCTGCTGATTTCCTCCATCTGTCACTTTCTGTTCCCGTTCGGGCAACGAGGCTTTTCCGCTCGCGGGGCCCTCAGCGGCACGCGATGGGTGACCTGACCGAGGGGAGGGGGATGTCGTGTTTGCTGGCTTCGTGGTCCCCCAAAGGTGGGCAGAGAACTTTTGTTGTACACCGCATGGTGTGCGTTGGTGATCTGCCCGATTTGCTTCCTGGGCTACCTCACCGTGGATCGACAGGTACCAAAGAACCGGCGCTGCTCATCGAGATTTCTCTCCCATCGTCTTGCTCCGGGCGGGAGAAACGTCAGTCAGCTGTGTTGGGCAGAAGGGCACATGTCGTAGCTTGGCCGCCGGTGGACGGCACAAACCAGTATTCTCTCCCAAGTGTGATTCATACAACGAGACAGTTTTGGCTGCTCAGCTCTCTCGTTTCCATGCCATTATTCTATGATACAGCTAGTAGAAACATTTTGTACAGTCCGGTCGGTATATCCCCAACCCGGTGAGTTTTACCTCGTGCCCAGTTCCTCCCCCCTTACTTCGGGTCGATGGGCACGATCCTCTCCAGCGTCCTGAACCCATCGTGCGCAAACCCCTTCTCGACGTTCACCTTGTAGTTCTTCCCGTCCACCGTCATCACCCCCCATCCCATGTCCGTCCACGCCGACCGGACGCCCCTGAACAGGGCCTTGAGCGCCCGCCCCATCCGCCGGAACGGCATCGTCAGCAGGTGCTCCATGTCGAACCTGCGCAGCGCCACCTGCTCCTGCTCGGCCTTCCGCGCCAGCTCCTTGCGCCTCAGCTCGGGGACGTACTCCTCCGGCAGCGAGAGCCGCGACTTGAGCGACACCTTCTCCAGCGGCACCCTGAGCACCTTGGGCTGCAGGAGGGGCACCATGCGCTGCACCGTGACCTCCATCGTGAGTCCTCCCGCGGGCGCTGCTGCTCCTGCTGCGGAGGCCGCTCGTCGGGCGGCGGCGGCGGGGACGTTGGCCGGCGCCGCTGCCTTTGTTGCTGTTGCTGCCGCTGCCGGCAGGACCCGTATCGAGCTGACGATGTTGGGCGTCTTGGAGATGAGGAAGAAGCCCATGCCGGTGAGGAGGGCGTAGGAGGCGCCGTAGACCCAGCTGACCCACGACGGCACGCCCTCGGGCTGCGAGACGACCGAGGGGGCCGTCAGGCACGTCCACGTCAGGATTGTGATGCCGCTCGTCCAGCATCCAAAGTAGAACCAGAAGTGCGAGGCGCCCTCGTAGAGCACCGTGGGGGACGGCTTGGTGGCCAGGGTCTTGATCAGAGCATAGTTCGTAAGGCCGCCTGGTTTGGGCGGTTGGCCTCGTTGTGAGGGACGCGACGACGGCGGCGGTCTGGTCGCTTTGGCTGGGGAGGAGGAGGAGGCGGCGGCGTGCCAGCAAGGGGACGTTGTGAATAACCGGGCTGCTCGCGGGGCAGACAGTTCGGACAGAAGAATTCGCGGGCTCGAGAGCGGCCGGAGGGAGTGCTGCAGCAGCCCCCGGGAGAAACTGGCCATTGCGGATGTTTCTGGGCTCCAGGTCTGGGGGGCGCAATTGGAGTAGAACTGTATGTATTTCGGGTAAGTGGACGGTCACGTTCGCAATGGCAATGGCATCGCCAGCCAATTCTGTCTGAGAGTCTGGGCTGGCGTGATGGCGGGAGCTATATTACAAAAATTCCCAATGGCTCGTGGCTCAAAGCGACAGGGATCAGTCCAAAGTACATCCACTTAAAGGGTACTACCGGAAGGGTAGATGACAATATAAATGCGTCAAGAGTAACGGGAAATTGAAACTAAACTATTTTGTCAGGCTGCCCGCTCGCCTCCGGTGTAAAGCAACTCCGACGTATCGGGACATTGCGCCCAAAAAATAATAAGTGGATCCGTGTCCTCCGTTGGATGGAGCATATTCCCAACAGCTTCAACCTCGCCCGAGCTTTGCAACTGCCGCAGAAGCACCTCCGACCCTGCTCTCCATCACCAATCCTCCCTCTCTGCAGTCCCGGACGCCCCCTCAATGGCTTCCTTTGCGGCAGTGTGCCGGGCCACAGCTCGTCTCTCGAGCAACCCCGCTGTTGGGGCCCGTGGTATGATCCCCTTTTACACCACCGACCCTCTGCCATCAGGACCCCTCCTGCCAGGGCGCCGTTTACGGAGCGGCAAGAAACCATTGGAGTCTTCCCCTGCTGACTAGATCTCTTCCATGCACGCAGCCTTTACATCATCCTCGCGATGCCTCGCCGCCCAGAACTTCACCATGCCGGCTCTGTCCCCGACCATGACTGAGGGCAACATCGCGGCGTGGAACGTCAAGGAGGGCGACTCCTTCAGCGCCGGCGACGTCCTCCTCGAGATCGAGACCGACAAGGCCACAATGGATGTGGAGGCCCAGGAGGACGGCGTCATGTTCAAGATCCTCTCCCAGGGCGGCGCCAAGGGCGTCCAGGTCGGAACTCGGATCGCTGTCGTCGCCGAACCCAGCGACGACCTCTCCTCCCTCGAGGTCCCGGCCGAGGAGAAGGCCTCCCAGCCCGCCGGGAGCGCCCCCAAGGAAGGTGCCGCTGCTTCACAGGCCGGCAGCTCTGGCTCCTCCCAGGCCCAGTCCAGCGCAGTAAAGACCTCAGGCGGGGGCACCTACGAGCATAAGCTGCCCCTGCTCCCCTCCACCGGCCACCTCGCCGCGCAGAAGGGTCTGAGCCAGGAGGATCTGAGCAAGATCAAGCCCACCGGGCCAAACGGTCGACTGCTGAAGGGCGACGTCCTGGCTTTCCTCGGAACCATCGACGCCGAGGTCCCAGCCGCCATCTCATCCCGCTTCGAGAAGCTGGGACACCTCGACCTCAGCGACGTCAAGGTGGCCGCCCCCAAGAAGGAGGAGCCAGCCAAGAAGGAAGCTGCTCCCGCCCCCAAGGCCCCGGCCATCGAGAACCTGGAGATCAACGTCCCGGTCTCGCTGTCCAAGGTCGTCGAGGTCCAGAACAAGATCAACGACACCCTCGGCGTCTTCCTACCCCTCTCCACCTTCATCAGCCGCGCCGCCGACGTGGCCAACGCTGACCTCCCTCCTGCCTCGCGGCAGCCCACCGCCGAGGAGCTCTTTGACCAGGTCCTCGGGCTGGACAAGGTCAAGGCCGCCAAGGGCACCCGGGGCGTCTACCTGCCCCAAATTTCTGCCATTACCCCCTCCTCATTTGTGTCCGCCTCCCCTTCCAAGAAGTCGGACATTATCGACATCCTCACTGCCAAGCCTAAGAAGCGGGCTTCCCCGCCTGTCATTCCCACAGTCCCCGGCCTGTCGAGCGGCGCCAATGTCTTCAGCCTGGTTGTCCCCAAGGCCGAGGAGGAGAGGGCACAGGTGTTCCTGGAGCGATGCAAGGCGATTTTGGAGGAAGAGCCGGGACGGTTGGTGCTGTAGGATATGTCGGATTCCCTTTCCCCCTTCTTGTAACTATGCTCCTACCTTTAGATTGGAGACTATACCTGGGTTCTCTCTACAAACAAAACTAATTTCCTTGCTCTAACATGCTTCGCTGTGATATGTACCCATCACACGATTAGTGCTCCTCGCAGATGGCAACAGTGTTGTTTGTATTGTCTAATAGTATCCTATCTGAATTACTCTGATCTCGTTTTCAATATCAATACTTGGCACCCTAGCAACTCCACTATTCTTCATCCTTCATGGTAAAAGACCCGGACCTATCCCTCTCATCATGCAGACCAGACCGGTCTGGGAGCTTGGCATATGATTCTGGGGGTCTGTACGGTGGGCCATGGCTTGGAAGTGTCGCCATCGAACGTGACTTTGCAAGAGTTGGGTGGCCGGGGCCCGAGTTGCTGGGCAGAGGAGCGATGTTCCAAGGTTGGTCCGTTGCCAAGACATCCGCGCGAGACAAAGAACTGGCACCGGCTTCAAGTTTCGGTTGCTCAAAGGTAGTTATCATGCCACCACGAGGGTCAAGATGGGTACCTCCACGCTGCGATGGAACCGTGGTGTCGTCAGGTCTACCCAAGGTCTCTCGATGTTGGGCTGCGGAACCAGGCCTCTTAAGTCCTGGAATCAACCCCCTAGCAACCTCCAGTTCTGGTAAATTCGTATCAGGAAAAGAAGGGATTTTGAGGCCCTGACTTTGTATTCTCGGCCTACTCGAGGAGGATTCGGAAGCCTTTTGCTTCTGGACAAAACGATGAAAGGAATTAAGCACTTCGGAAACTCGTTTGCCAAGGGCATCTGACCCGGCGCAGTAGTGAGACATCTCGGTGGCCTGTCTGGCCAGCTCACTATATTGTTCGTTGCGGTATAGGCCGAAAGATTCATTGCTGTGAACCACGAGGCCGGCGGCAAGTAGGAAGTTGCTTGTGGGCAGTTAGCAATGTGCAGAAGGAGCTCCGATGTCCCAACTTACAAGATGAACGTATTTCGCCGAGGTAGCCAAGAAGACATATACGCCGCGTGCATCAAGTGCAGAGTTCTTTTCGCCACAGCTAAACACGATTCAGAAAGCATGCCTAGATCCGAGCTTGCGCGAACCGTAGTCTCGGGTGTTTTCGAGGCTTCCCTCTGTGTCTGAAAAAGAAGAAATAAGAAATAGGGTCTTGTCAGAAGTAGTTGGCAGTGCAGCTCGACGAGGTTGGTGTATAACACAGCGATGCCTTCATCGGGAAGCAACATTTCCTTGAAAACCCGACTGGCCGATAGTCTTGGAGAGAACGCCTTCACTCTATGAAGACATTCGTCGAATAACTCCTTCCCGACTTGGATCGGAACCCGCCGAGACCGTCCATAAATTTCCCTGAGAATCATGCCCATCCCTTGACACGATTTGACAGTTGCATTGAAGCTCTCCATATGCGTGGTTTCGTTCGCGTTGTGTTCATCTTGTACCTTCGGCTGAATGAGCGCGCTGGGCGAACAGTTCTCCTCCGAAATTGCCGAAGGGCGGCCAAGGAACTCTGAGATCAACTTATCGAGAACGAATAGGCTTTTCCAAAGATTCCGTCTATGGGCCAGCGCTATTTCCTGGTTTTGGAATATGCCAATATAGTCGTCTATCCGGTGTAAACCCAATGCAATCGCGAAACTGACTGCTTTTGCTATCTTGGTGGTCAGATACAACAATAAAACATAGTTTTACCTGTTTTAGAACATACCTATGGAGGCATAAGCTGCGTTCCACTTTGATACAGAGAACTTATACATGGCTATAAGAGCGTGAGCTTGAATAGACCAGATATCGCCATCCGTAAACTCCGGGAGCTGTTCTCCAAAATACATTGCACTTTTTAAAAGCGCTTCGGCTTGTTCAATGGATCCTATTGAAAAGGGGCCAAGTAGATAATCAGCTTCGGTCCCTGGCGTGGGAACCACCATTACCAGGCTAGCCGCAAGCGTCAGGTATATGTTGCAAAGGTCTGAAGGGTGTACAGAGGCGGGATTCATATAGTATGCGTTGACTGTCATTTCCAAATGTCGGCGCTCCATTAACTCGACGAGTCCCCTGGTCTTTTCGCCCATTAGTGGTGGAACACCATGTCAAAGAGGCGTCAACCTACATTGGTAAAAAAGAATTGGATCAGTGCGTCCACTGCTTCCCTCCCCGGCAGAATCCAAGGTGATTCTATGTCTGACGGCATAGTCATATGGTTTTCTGGTATTTTATGGCGAATGGGGTCACTTGTAAAGGAAGAGTGCTCTGTCGGACGGTCTACTATTATCCTCATAAATTGTAGGTATGACAAGGTAGAAGAATTGCCGACAAACACTAGAGCTCGAGGTTAGAGTCGACAGTTATCGAGGGCTATGCTGGCAGTTCCCACGTACAAAGTCGTCCATTCGAGTCTTCCAACATTCTTACATCACCATACACGTCAATATGATCATCTTGGCCCAATACAACGGTTCCCTTGTTAAGAGAAGCCAGCGTGCTTGGGAGCGGGGGGTTGTCTTGGCCATGGAATAGTTGGTTTGGGATGGCCTGTTCTGTGCCAACGTAATGCGAATATCCCACCATAGGGCTGCTCCATGCGTGTCTCGGCGTGGATATAGAAGAATTACTTCTACTTGGCTGCGTTGATGGCCCGAGTGTGAGCAGATCAAAAGGTTCATCTGTGTTGCGTCGTTTCGTTACCGAACCAGCACGGGAGGTGGTATCGCCGTCATGGGAGGGACTCGGGGTATACTGGCAAATTGAACTCCGTTTGACGCAGGTGCTGCAAGGTTTTAGACCGTTACACTTAACACAATAATCAGTTAGCTTCGAGATGTAGCTCCTTTAGCTTAGTATCCCGTCAGAGTGTAGGAACCACCTCGTCCCCATCTTGCAGTCCTAGACTAGGCGATCTCCTAGTATCTTTTGTTCACACTTGTGAAGATGGAAATCAACATGACAAATCAAACTCCTCACCAAGGCAGATGCAAGCGCAGAAGAGGATTTCTATCCCAGCCGCGTCAATACAAAAACCTCCACGAAGGGGTAGCGGGCCGATGGCTCTTTTTTACATTAGGCCTTGGTTTGGTCACCGATTTTTCCTGCGGGTAAATGCGTGGATATTGGGCCATGACCACGGCTAGATCCATGTAGGACTGCACAAGAGGAGCCTCAACAGAGGAAAATACTCGCGTGATAACACGGCCGTGATGCTGGCCAGGGGTTTCTGAACGATTTGGATGGGATTTGAAGCCATCAACATGTTGGGGAGAATAACAGGTATCAGACTTGGAATGGACCCGGAGATCTGATTCAAACAGTACCAGGTTGATGGAAACACGTTTTGAGGGGGGCTGATTTGTTGAAAGGAGAAAAGGGCAATGCTAACAAGGAATTGTTTGCTTACTTACTTTCTGTTTTCGACGCTTGCAAGTATCACAAGCTTGAGCAGTTCTTTGCCTCCTCTCCTCTGGCACCTTTGGCCGGGTCATTGTGAATATGACTGATCAAGGATTGCCACGGACAACCGCAACATCGGGAGCAGTTTGATTGTTGATAATCAATCCTCAGGTGAACGGATGGGTAGCACGGAATGTAATAAAAACCCCGATATGGTGAAGAGATGGGCACAATTTTCACCTCTACCCGGGGTGAAACATACATTGACTGGAAGATTTTGGCGCTTGTCCTGTTGATGGAAAAGGCGCACCCCAGGAGGTGGGAAGAGAACTGGGGCGAAGCCCTGTGCTGGATGTTACTTGGCTAACAGTTTTTTAGAGGGATAGGAGGGTGGTTTCCCAGACCTACAGAACTCTGCAGGTTGGCAACATAAGCAACCATGTTGCAGGACCTATTGGTGATTGGAAGATCTCAGCTAGGCAAGGAAGACCTCTTCCCTAATTGGAGGATAAGAAGCCACTACGGTCCTAGATCCTTCTGGAAACGATACATATTGGGCGGGAATTCTTGAAGTGAAAACAGCCAGGCTGTCACTGGGAGGCAACCATTCCCTAAACCCAATTTTTCAAGATGATGCGTTCTCCTTGGCGGCACTCCCGTGACAAGCATGGTTGGCTCAGCTCAGGGGAGTGCGGAGGGGGAGTACGGCCCTCCCGTACAGTTAGGTGGCCGTTGATGATGACCAAACAGCCAGCCATCATACCCATTACCGGCCTTACACAGTGGTAGGCCACCACGAGAGCGGGCGCGTGCGCCAGCAGGTCGACTATCCGAGCCTTGTGCATGAAGCCCCATTAGGTGAGTTAGGAATACTGGAGTCTGCTTGCTTCTTCCAAGCACAACATGAATACAGGTTTGAGAAGATCCATCGGGCCAGGGCATGGGGCCAGCTATCTTGTTCACTTGGTGAAGAGTAGCTACGCTTGCTTCTGTAATTCTCTCTGCAGGAGACACCCACAACGAGATGAATTTGTTTCAGTTAGGGGTTGGGGCACACCCCTCCCAGGGTGAAAGAGGCTGTGGAGTGGGAGTAGCAAATGACAGCCAGATGCTCGTACGTGTCAAGCAGGCGGTAGGTAGTGTTAGCCAGCAGCCTTCTATCACACCGAACAATGCCTTTCCGAAGAGAAGGAATGTAGATACTGCGGTGAGCGGGCTTCGGGAAATAAGGTAGTGTTATTGGGTAGCACAAGGACGGACCAGCCGTGTTGCTCCCCACAGAAGCACAACCTGCAAAAGAAAAACTTCCTTGTTCGTTGCACCCGGGGTAGTTATACCAACTAGGACTGCGCGTCACATCGGAATCCCCGGTTACTCTCATCGAATGGGAGTGACCCGTCCAGCCGCCAAGCTGATCTCATTGGATCCCACGAGCTCCCGCCAGAACGGCTCGCGCCCCTCTTCAGCCTTCCTTGAGAGCATTCCTCGAGCATAGTACCTCGCTTGCTTGGGTCTGGGGATAACCGTAGATGGGTAGAGTAGCACGAGGTAAATGGTGAGATTCGGCCCCTCCCAAGGAATGGATCGT